TGGATTCTCTTCCCCTTTCTAGGAACTACAATCTGGATAGGGACAGAGAGCAGGTCCAGAACCAGCCAGCCAAGTGTACAGGTAGAAACATGTGCAGTTGGATCTGTAGGAGTTTGGAGGCCAGAGGATTGGTTCCTGTAGTTGGATTGTCCTAGGGAGGCTTCTTGGAGGAGGTTGGATCTGAGTCCAAGGATGAATAAAGAATTGGAGCAGGGGCACCTGTGTGGCTCAGTCAGCTAAGGGTCTGACTGCGGCTCAAGTCACAGTCTCAGGGTTCTGGGATTGAGCCCCGCATCAGGCTGCATGCTCAGCAAGGAGTCTGCTTGTCCCTCTCCCTCTACCCCTCCCCCTGCTCATTCTCTCTGTCTCTCTCTCAAATAAATAAATAAAATCTTAAAAAAGAGAGAGAGAAGGAAAGAAAGAAAGAAAGAGAGAAAAGAGAGAGAGGGAGGGAGGGAGGGAGGGCAAGCGGAGAGGATTAATGGGCTGACCAGTGGTGGAAGGGGGAATGAAGAGATGGGGAGGGCAGTGAGAGGTCCTGCCATGGTTTTAGAGGTCTGTAGAGAAGAAGATTCTGTTTTCTCTGTCTCATATCATTGTCTAACTGGAGTTTTTTGTGCTAACTTGTTGTAGTTGAAGGCCAGTTCTCTTGGAAGTGAAGGGACCATGGTTATTTCACACTGGATGAGCTTTTAGTGTTTTTTTGAAACACTTTTATGCTTCATATTGGGCTAAAGACCTGGTGAATTTCTTTCTTCTTCTTTTAAAGATTTTATTTACTTGACAGAGAGAGAGAGAGAACACAAGCAGGGGGAGTGGCAGGCAGAGGGAGAGGGAGAAGCAGGCTCCTCACAGAGCAGGGGGAGCCTGATGTGGGACTAGATCCCAGGACCCCAGGATCATGACCTGAGCCGAAGGCATTTGATTAACCAATGGAGCCAGCCAGGCGCCCTAAGGTGAATTTCTATAGACAAAAGCTGCAAGAATTCTGAGGGCCAACTCCCAGTGAAAGTCTTTGGCCGTGTATGCCAAAAATAAGGCATAGTCTGAAGTGCAAGAACCAGGCAAGGGATGCTTATTGCAGAGAAGTGAGTGAGAAAGAAAGAACAGATTGTTAAATCAGTGCCATGGGAACTATGGGTGATAATTTGGGAAAAGTAAGGCTAGAACCTCACTTAATATGATATAATGAATAAAGGTAAGTAACAATATATACATTAAAAAAAAAAAAACCACCCAACTTTATATACTCTTGAAAAGGCAGATCTTGGGGGCCTCATGACAGACTTGAAGAATGAAAAGCCCTGAGGCAGGGCCCAGAAACCTGCATTTTCAACAAGTTCCCTAGGTGATAAAAAATATTCATCTGTAAATATTTCCTACATTTTCTTGTAGTGCTTTTATAATTTTAAGGTGGGCAAGGCATGATTCAAAGGCAGAAGTCATTATAGAAAATATCAGTAGATAAGGCTATGTAAAATAAAAAACTTTTATTTGTTAAAAAAAAGATATCTCCCATGAACCAAAAGTGAAAGGCAAACAATGAACTAAAAAAAAAAAAAAGCAACATATATGACAAAGAAAAAATATGAAAAGGGGTAAATATTCTTCACATGTAATGAGCACTTATAAATCAATAAGAAAAAATTCATATAAAAGAACGGGCAAAGGACATAAATAGGTAATTCATTTATATAAGACATGTAAATGTCTAATAATATGTCAAAATATTGTTACTAATATTCCACTTTTCATCTGTCCAGTTTTTTTCCATAAAAAATTTGGCATACATATACAGTGAAAGATTATGCAGCCATTAAAAAGAAAAAAATTCTGCCATTTATGACAACATTGACAGACCTTGAGGGCATTATGTTAAGTGAAATAAGTCAGACAGAGAAGACAAGTACTATATGATCTCACTTGTACATGGAATCTATGAAAACCAAACTCAGGTACAGAAAACAGATTGTTGCTTGTTAGAGGCAGGGGGTGGGGAGGTATGGAAGGTAAGGGAAATGGTGAAGGTGGCCAAAAGATACAAATTTTTAGTTATAAGGTAGATAAGTTCTGGAGATACAATGCACAACATGGTGGCTACAGTCAACCACTGTATTGTGTATTTGAAGGTTGCTAAGAGAGTAGTTCTTAAAAGTTCTCATCAGAAGAGGAGAAACTAACCATGTGAGGTGACAGTTGTTAGCTGATTGTGGTAGTCATTTTGCAACATATACATATATCAAATCATTATTCTGTCTACCTTAAATTACTGTAACTTCGGTATATGTCATTATATCTCAATAAGACTGGAAAAAAATTTTAAGATATGAAATAATGGTGATTTACTCTCTCATCAAAGATAGTTTTCTTATCTCAACAGTCCTGCTCAATAATTCTGAAAGTAAAGAAACACCTTCCTTCAGACAGATCTAGTTTCTGGTTCTGTCCTTCAAATGCTACATTTTTTTTTAAAACATTTTATTTATTTATTTGACAGAGAGCGCAAGTAGGGGAAGAAGCAGGCAGAAGAAGAGGGAGAAGTAGGCTCCCCCCCACCCAGCAGGGAGCCCGATGCGGGGCTCTATCCCAGGGCCCTGGGATCATGACCTGAGCCGAAGGCAGCCGCTTAACTGACTGAGCCACCCAGGCGCCCCCAAAAGCTACATTTTTTTAGTCCTCCTGCACCCTAAAAGCCTCTTACACTTCCACACCTTTGCCTCCCCAGAACTTCATACCCAATCTTTATAATTTTAAATTTAGTGTTCTCTTTCATGAAAGAGTGCATTGCAATGATTAGCTAAAGGAACTGCATGTTTGTATTTTTGAAGACAGGAGTAAAGGACTTATAAGATCAGACAAGGCTCATGGCACACATACATGTTGATACAAGTGCTCTTGAATTAAAAATACATATAATCACTGATACACTATTTTCATCTTCTCTCGTTGGTAGTTTTTTTTTTCTTTCAAATTTCCTAATGTTTGTTCATTAGATCAGTTTAGCTTTTTTAAATTTTCTTAAAGATTTTATTTATATATTTGACAGAGAGCGAACACAAGCAGAGGAAGCAGCAGGCAGAGGGAGAAGCAGACTCCCCAAGGAGCAGAGAGCCTGGGGCGATCCCAGGACTCTGGGATCATGACCTGAGCCAAAGGCAGACACTTAACCGACTGAGCCACCCAGGCGCCCCTCAGTTCAGCTTATCAGGGAAATTTGGTAATAAGAACTGTATCAAAAGCCTTAGAATGTTTCATAACCTTACATTGAGAAATTCCACTTCTAGAAATTAATTCACTTCTAGAAATAATCATGAGTGTGCACAAAGATACTATGACAAAAATATTTTACAGTATTGTTTCTAGTAGGGAACAACTAGAAACAACTTAAATTTCCAACAATACAGCTCTGATAAAATATATTTTAATACATTAACCAAAGGCATACTACGTAGCCATTAAAAATGTGGAATATATAATGATATGGAAAAAGTATTAACAGTATTTTTTTAGTGAAAAAGAAAGGCTTATGAAACAGCTTGCAATCTTATTCCTAAAAATATGTGTTTATTCATAGAACAATTGTAGAAAGATAAACACTGACATTTTAAAGAGTTGTCTCTGGATGGTGAAATTGTAGGTAGTTATTTCCTTTTTTTTGTGGCTTCTACATATTGTCTTAAGTTTTCTGTAGTGTAAATGAATATTCCTATGATATGAAAATGACAGTAAAATGTATTATATAAAAAAGAACAGGGGTATGTAATTGGCTCTGTCAGAAGAGCATGCGAGACTTAAGATCTTGGGGTCGTGAGTCTGAGCCCCACCTTGGGGATAGAGGTCACTTAAAAATAAAGAAAAAAAAAACAATTCACTGAGAAAAATGCTTAGCGTAAAACTTGCCTCTTCTGTAACTCATTTCTCTAACAACTCACTTCTTTAGTGGAGGACCCCAGGAGAGGCAGGGATCTCCTCAGGCCTTCTCCCAATTGGAGCTTTCCAGGAGGCCTGTGGTCAGCCTCTTGGTCACATAGAATCCAGCTTTGGAGAAACTGAGAAGTAACCCAAAGTTTGGGAAGTAGAGAAATGGCAACTGGAAGATTTCATAGAGTCAGAGCTAGAAACTCCCTTCACAGAGGATCTAGTTTCTCCGCCCATGTTTTCCTCAAACAGAAACTAAGGCCGACTTCAGGGCTTGTCCAAGGCCACCCAGCCAACTTAATGACAAGGTGAGGCCTTGAATCCATGGTCTTTCCGCCCTGTTGTATTTCTGTAATACGCAGATTTAGACCAGTCCTTCTCATACTTAAACTGTGCGCGCAGGGATTCCCCAGGGATCTTGTTGAAATGCAGATTTGGACCCGGCCGGTCGGGGTGGGCCATTTCTAACCAGCGCGCAGGCGATGCCAGTTTTGCCGGGCTGGGGATCGCAGTTTCCCTGGCTGTGGTGCAGGAGCCAGACTTCAGCTTCCCAGTCCCAGCTCTGCCACAGACTCTATGATTGTGACACTCACTGTGCTTCAGTTTCGTCATCTGCGAAATTAGTTTGCGTGAGGATTTTTAGTAAGTTGTTACACGTTAAGTGCTCAGATCGGTATGCGTGAAGAAGTGGCTAGCTTACTATCATTCCTATTCCCCCGAGCTTTCAGGGGGTGAAGCAGGGTCTGACGAATGAATGACCAACCTTTTGGAAGAAAGTTCTTTCCTGGGCGGCTAGAGTCAGAGAAGCAAAGGGGGAGGGCTGCTCGGTGGGGGAAGAGGCCCACCTCCAAGAAGCTTCTCTCCACCCGGTGGTCAGAACAGCCGGGAGCGCCCGGAAGCCGGCCGGCCCGCGCCCAGCCGACCAATGCGGCCGCCCGGGGGGAGGGGGCGGCCAGCCAGCCCTTTCCGTCTGGGGCTCCGGCGGCCCCGCCCCTTGTGCGTTGCGCCGCTCGAGCATTCCACGGTTGCTACATCGTCGCGAGGGGCGGGGCGCCTGTCAGGGAAGCGGCGCGCGCGCCGGCGCGGGCGGGCTGGGGCTCGGCCGCGCAGTGCCAGCGCCAGCACCAGACCCGCGCCCCGCGCTCTCCCGACCGCCGCCTGCGTTCTGGCTCGAGAGCCCGAGCTCCCGCCCGCCGGTGCGCTGCCCGAGTATGGAGCTGCTGTGCTGCGAGGGCACCCGGCACGCGCCCCGGGCCGGGCCGGACCCGCGACTGCTGGGGGACCAGCGTGTCCTGCAGAGCTTGCTCCGCCTGGAAGAGCGCTACGTGCCCCGTGCCTCCTACTTCCAATGTGTGCAGAGGGAGATCAAGCCGCACATGCGGAAGATGCTGGCGTACTGGATGCTGGAGGTATCGCCCGGAAGGGTCTCCCCTCCCCCGTCGCCCGGCTCCGGACATCCCCGGGCCGCCCTGTCGGGACATCCTGGTCCCAACAGCAATCAGCAAGTTGCTTTGGTGGCTCAGATCCCCGGGGCCTGGCCTTTCACTCGGGCACCCTAGCCAGCTGACTGCCTCCGTGGTGTCCCTTTCCCTTCCCCAGCCCTAACTGTGACTGCCGGTCGTTTGGCACCCTCACTAACCCTCTCTTCGGGCGGGGAAAGCGGGACCAGGGCAGCCCTCTCCCCTCCGGCTTCTCTCAGCGTCTCCTGCTTCCCTCCCCCGCTCGGATTTCTCAGGAGAGCGCGCCTGGAAAACCCTGGGCTCGGCCGCCCCCGCCCCAGAGCCGGTTCCTGTGTCTGTCGCGGGGTTCTGGCGGGGAAGACGGTGGGGGTGGCGCGCGCGCTGTTCCGGCAGTCAGGGAAATGAAAAGTGCGGGAGGCAGCGGCTGAAATCTCCTCCCTTCCCTTTGGGTGTGTGCAGTGGGTGGTGGTAATGGGGGTAAGGTCCCAGTTCTCCGGCTACCGTGGGTGACTCTTCCGTTTCCTCAACCCCCTTCTCGCCATGGAGGAGGGCAGTCTCAGTTTGGAATCCTTCTTAAGGAAAGGAGCCTCTGGCATTATCCCCCCCCCCCACCCAGGGGAGGGGGAAAGGAGGCAGGCAACTCAGAGGAAGTGGGGGGCGTCACCTTGGGGAAGGCGCATCCTCCTCCGTATGTTAGTCCTTGTCACCGAAGGTACACTTATCCCCTTCCCATTTTTTTGCTCCCCCATCCACTTCCCTTCAGCGCCCCCCGCCCCCGTCCTTTAGTGGTGCAGCGTTTCCCATGCCCCCGCCCCAGAAGTGACTGTGCGCCCTCCCCCAGGTCTGTGAGGAGCAGCGCTGTGAGGAGGAAGTCTTCCCCCTGGCCATGAACTACCTGGATCGCTACCTGTCCTGCGTCCCCACCCGAAAGGCGCAGTTGCAGCTCCTGGGTGCGGTCTGCATGCTGCTGGCCTCCAAGCTGCGCGAGACTACGCCCCTGACCATCGAAAAACTGTGCATCTACACCGACCACTCTGTCTCTCCCCGCCAGCTGCGGGTGCGTGCATAAGTCTCCCCACCCCCGACACAATAATACCTCCTCACTTACCAGGAAGAGGAAAGCCAAGACCTCAGAGGCTTTCTGCCCTTGGGGAGGGTAGCGGCGGCTTATTTTGGGGGGCAAAATGTGGGGCACCGCGGTGGGACAGTCAGGATAGCCCCAGCCCAGGCTGGAGCTGCCAGCACGAATCGAATCCCCTTCTCCTGACCTCCAGGGGGTGCCATTCCTTCCTGGTCTTTCCCCCAGATAGCAACAAGTCAAACTGCATGTCTATACTCACTAGTACTTTGCCTCTGGGTTTACACAGCCACCATGAGTTATTTATTGGCAGCAGAAGGACATGCCTGCACACCCCCACTGGAGTGGGGGAGTGGAATGTGCTTCATGTGGGGGAGGGGGCTGCCTTGATTGAGTCTTTGTCCCAGTGTGGACTTTGTGATTGAAAAGCCTCGAAGAGGCGATTAAAGCCAGGCCCTGATTGCCAAGGAGTTGTCATCCCACCTTGTTTCCTTCCTTTTATATCCCAGAAGAGAGAGCTCCTTCCTTGTCCTCGTCCTGAGGAACTTGAGCAGCTGCTTCAGGCCTGGTGGAGTCACCTCTCCTTTTCCCCCTCAGTCAAAGGCCAGAGCTGAGGGACAGCCGGGGAGCTGAGCTGCAGCTGCTTCCGATGTGATCATGCTGCCCCCTCCCCGGGCCCACCCACTCCGGCCTGAGGTCTTTCATAACCCTGTGGGGAGCTTCTGTCACTCCTGTGGTTTGGGAAGTGGCTCCCTGGGCCTCTTGCTGGGAACTTGGGCTGAGCTCTTCCCGAGGCAAGGCAAGAGTCAAGGCTCTCCCCATTGAGCCTGGAAAGGAGTGTGGGGTAGCTGCTTGGATCTGGGAGAGGTTATTTAGGGCAGGCGGATCATCTCCTGGGGGGGCCAGGGGGAGAGGATGGGTGAGCTGGCACCTTCCTCCACCTTGCTCTACGGCCGGCCAAGTCTTCTCCTGACCCTGAGAGGAGTCTCTGGGCCCCATTTCCCGGGGAGGAGGGCAGCATGCAAGCTGCTGTGATTGGCTGGCCAAGAAGCCAGGGTACTGGGGGCCCCCCGACTGCTGCTTGTCGAGGAACAGGATTCCTCTTCCTGCCAAGTCGCTCTCAGAGATGGGAGTAGGAGGCCGGAGTTGGGAATCCGGGAGGCCCCACAGCTCTTTGTGATGAATCTGGTAGTTCTTGGCCAGTCTGAAGGTGGAGCCAGTTTCCAGGGCCAGCAAGCGAGATGTTTTTGGAGGGGCTTGGGCTGGAAGGTAGAAGGGGACTTCCTTTTTGTGAAAAGACTGGCACGGTGTGTGCGCCTTTGTGTGAGGGGAGTTTTTCAGAACAGGCCGCAAGGACTCTTCCTCCACTCCCTCTGCCTGAGCTGGGGGTGGAGTGTGCAGATGCCTTCCTAGAAGGTCAGAGTTGGAAGGGACTGCAGAGAACTCGAGTCAGTCCAAATCCTTGTGCAGCAGAGAGGCCCAGAGAAGGAGGGGGAAGCACTACCCTGAAGCGGATGAGGAGGGTCTGGGTCTTCTGGCTAGCCCAGGGGGCCTTGAAGCCTACAGATGTGGAAGCTGCCAGGGCACTGCCACTAATCACTCCCAGGGGTGTGTTGTCCACCAAGCGAGGGTGGAGATTTTCAGGAGTTGCCCGGATACCGGGTAAGGTGGCTGCCTTCCCTCACATGGGACCCCTGCCTCCCCATAGGGAGAGCCCCACTCCAGGTTGCCTTCCAGATGGTTCCTTGGAGGCTAGGTGCTTTTGTTCACTTCTGAGTTAGAAGTTGGAGCACTGGGACAAGCATGACTAGAATGCTGGCTTCTCTGCCCAGCTTCTTTTGCCTCCAGGCCAGGCTCTTTTCTTTAGGGCCCTGTGAGAGGCTTGGGGGCTGATTGGGGAGGATGACACTTAGGTGGGGGCCAGGAGAGGGACAGCGGCGACCGGGGACCTGGAAGAGGTTGGGCGGGGTTGCCATTTCTGCCTCAATAAGGGGCCAAACCCATGAGTTCCTTCCTGAGATAAAACAATGAAGAAATCCTCATGCGTGCAACTCAGAAATGGGGCCGGGACTAGGAACCCCAGACGAATGGATTGGGGTGGGGCTCCCAGCCTCCCTCCAGAACCTAGCAGTGGTATATAGGTGTGAGCAGGCAAAGAGAGGGTTTGGTCTCTCAGGGATCATCTGGACCCATCCTTTCAGGCTTGGCCTCCCCTTGGCTTCCTGAGACTTAAATGACACTAGCCACTGTGGTTCCAGGTAAAGGGGGTGGAATGGGGTGCTACATCTCAGACCCCCCCACCCAGTGTCCCACCAACGGGATGTGGGTTGGGTTGGGTTGGGTTGGGCAACCTCCCCTTTGAGGAACCTAAGGTTTGGTTCAGTGGCTGTGTCACAGAAGGCGTGGCCTCACGTTCATTCTGGTTTCTTCAAGGGGTGTGGACTTGGCTGGGATGCATAATTGGAGGATAGGTTAGTGGTGGTCTGCCCTTTCTCAAGTCCTTGGGATTTCGGAGAGAGTGCTTCACCCCCGAGGAGGCTCAAGGTTATGACACTGCCGGTGGTATTTGCTGCTGTAGTCTTTTCTTTCAGCCCTGGCTGGGGAAGTGCCCAGAGCCCTGCATGAGGTCAGACCTACATTGTTGGCCCCCCGAAAGCTAACCAAACAGGATTGAAAAGAGACTGTTTCTATCAAACATGTAGTTTTGGGTCTTAGTAAGCAAACAGTAGGTGCCCAAAGCCAACTCCCCTAGTTCTTCTGTGCCCTGGACCCCCCATTCCACAGCACCAAGTCTGTATACCCAGAAGCAAAGCTGGGTCTTGACCTTCAAGTTTGATGGGCTTCCTTCCCTGTGAGACTTCTGCTTTACTCCCAACCCTTCCCTCCTCAGCCACTGACTCCACCCTCTTTCCCAACCTCCAGGACTGGGAGGTGCTGGTCCTGGGGAAGCTCAAGTGGGACCTGGCAGCAGTGATTGCCCATGATTTCCTGGCCCTGATTCTGCACCGGCTCTCTCTGCCCCGGGACCGACAAGCCTTGGTCAAAAAACATGCCCAGACCTTCTTGGCCCTCTGTGCTACAGGTAAGATTTTTTGCCAAATGAGGAAATTCCGAAGCTTCGGAAGGGTGGCACGTAACTGGATTGTGGTTTGTACTCCTCTCACGATTTGTGAATATTCGATCCCCTCTTGAGATTACGGGGCCCAGAAAAGGCAGAACATAATCAGAGCTGTATGGGATTTAAGAGACCCCCCATTATTTAGGGGCTGAGAGAGAAGTGACTTGCTCAAGGTCTCACAGTGATGAAGCTGGGAGCAGAACCAAGGTCTTCTTGACCCTGGTTTTGTTTCCACATCAGGAAGAGCCTCATTCACTCCCCGGTCCCTGGTCAGGCTCACTTCCCAACCCCCATGGACCTGACGGACCTGTGGGAGTTTGCTGTCTACCCTGGTGCCCTCTAGGAGAGCAGCCCTTTCCTGCCCTCCTCCGTTGCTGCTCTTCTGGCACTCACTGCAGGGAGTTTCCTGCCCTGTTCACGCTGCCTGGCACTTTTCTGAGCCATAGGAAGTCCACACTAAGCCTTTGCCTCATGCTTGCCTCTCCCCTCTTTCCAAGATTACACCTTTGCCATGTACCCGCCATCCATGATCGCCACAGGCAGCATTGGGGCTGCAGTGCAAGGCCTGGGTGCGTGTTCCACGTCTGGGGACGAGCTCACAGAGCTGCTGGCAGGGATCACAGGCACTGAGGTGGTGAGTGCGGGCCGGGGGAGGCCCCCAGGGCGCCGCGTCAGCTCAGCAGTTCCTGGAGCAGTGCTATTCCCTGGGCCTCCAGCAGAGGGAGGCGTGCATCCCTAACCTAGTCCCGGCTTCTGGTTTCAGGAGCCCCACCCTTGGGGCTTGTGTGGCCTTTTATCTCCTGCCTTGGTCTGGGGAAGAGCAGGTGTCTTGGGTGGGTTGAAGGGCACTGTCCCTGGGTGCCCTTTTCTTGCCAAATGGTACGCAGGAGTGGGGGTGGAGGATCTGCTGTCACACGCAGGGTTGCTCTCACACCCCCTTGCCACATCCTCTTGGCAGTTTCTTAGAACTGAAGGTTGATTCCTGGGGCTGGGCTGTGGCCTAACCTCCCCAGACTTTCCTGTGTGCTGGAAGGTGTCCTCCCCCCGCATCTGCCACCAGCTGCTGTGGGGAGCGGAACCTTAGTCCCAAAGGGGACCTTCTACCATCCCACCCAGCAGTCACTCCTCACCGTTCCCCCGTTTGCAGGACTGCCTGCGGGCCTGTCAGGAGCAGATAGAAGCTGCGCTCAGGGAGAGCCTCAGAGAAGCCGCCCAGACCTCGCCCAGCCCAGTGCCCAAAGCCCCCAGGGGCTCCAGTAGCCAGGGGCCCAGTCAGACCAGCACTCCCACAGATGTCACAGCCATCCACCTGTAGCACCGGAGAGGCCCCCTCCAGTGGCCACTGGCAGCAGAGGAGGGGACACTGCCACCCCCCCCTCCCTGCCTGCAGGAACGAACCACGCCACATCTGAAGCCTGAGGGGGCTCTTTCCTATTCGCCCCTTGCAAAGCAGAAGGGGTCAGGCCCTACCTATCCCTGCAGTGTGCACTAAGGGGCCTGGCCAGCCAGCCATGTTTGGGTGGCCAGCCAGGCTCCTCTTTTTCTCTGCATCTGACCAGCTCTGCTCCTTCCCTGATCCTAGCTGGCAGTGGGCCAGGCTGGTCAGAAATGAAATTGAAGTAGATAAAATACATGTACCAGCATTCCTTTTTGAGGCCCCCTCATATCTGGGGCTCTCATGTTCTCAGATGCCAACATGCCCCCAGTGCCTTATAAAGGTGTCGCACCTTACAGAGTTCTTGCATTTGGATTGGGGTCTTTCTGAAGAAGTTTCAGATATTCTGATAGACATGTGTGAGGGGTAACAGTCTGGACAGCTCCTCTTGACATACTTTGGAGGCCCCTGCATAGTCCATGCTCACAGCTGCTCCCAGAGGGCCAGACCAGGCCTCTATCAGAGGGGCAGAACCAACCAATTCCTCCTTGCTTTGCTTGCCGCTCAGCTTCTCCTGTGTGATTGAGGGGGGGTCAGTGCTGAAGGAAGAGGTGGTGTTAATTTATTAATTGTTTTGAGGACAACTGTAAGAGGGTGTGGTGGGGCCCATCCACCCCACAAGCGGTGGTAACCCTGGTGGTTGCTGCATCCCTCCCCTCTGCTACTGGCTAGAGGATCTTTGTGGCCGAGGAGCTGCTACAGCCTGGGGTGGGGCCATGCCCTCCTCTCCCTCTGGCCCTCTGCCCCATCCTCTGGGGGTGAGGGATGGAGCAGGGATAAACTGGAGGTGACTGAGCCCCTGTCTGGAGAGGGAGGCAAGCCCTGTTGACACAGGTCTTTCCTAAGGCCACAAGGTCCAGGCTGGTGGCCCAGGACCATCATGCTACCTTAATAAAGATTCTGGAATAAACCTGGCTTTGGCTTCTTGGGTTGGATGGTGGTATGGGGAAAAGCTATTTCTAGCATGCACGATGTAAGCAGAGCAGAAGTCAAGGGTCATGATGCAAGGGTCCTCACAAACCATTTCTGTAAAGGGCCAGAGAGTAATTAGGCTCTGTGGGCCATTTGGTTTCTGCCCCAGATATAGTCAGTTCTGCATTACAATGGGATGTACGCATTCCTAAAACTCACTGCACCATGCAAAATTGCACAATAAAAACCACAGGGCTCATGGGAAAACAGGCTTGAGGCACAATACTCAAAAACTTAATGAATGACACATTTTTTTAAGAAGGAAATAAAGTGGATAGCCTAATTTTTACTTTAAATGGTTAAGGAACCTATATACTACAATATGGCCCTTTATCTTGAAAAAGACCTGAAGAGAAAGAGAGAGAGAGAGAGAGAGAGAGAGAGAGTGTGTGTGTGTGTTTGTGTGTGTGTGTGGAAGCAGAGGTTAGAAGGCTGTGGAAGGCAAGCTATGACACCAGGTGTGGGTGTGGTTCCCCACACAAGGTACACTGAGGTAGTGCTGGTGTTTGAGGCCTGTGCAGTCTGTAGTACCTGGCTTGCTGCAGCTGAGCAATTTTCACGTAGGTTCTCAAAGACAAATGTGCAGATAAATGTGAAATTCGTGATCAGTTTCTCCCCAAATATATAAACTGGGTTGGAATGAATTCATCAAAAGCAAACAAAAAGGATTCTAGAAGGATTGTACAGCTGGCCCTTGAACAACATAGTTCGAACTGGGCAGGTCCACTTATACGCAGATTTTTTTCAATAGATGTATACACTTACGGTAATGATAAACAGGAATACTGTATGTGTGATACGTAACTTACACAATGTGTGAACTGACTATATTATCAGTAAGGCTTCCAGTCAACACTATATTGGTAGTTGTTTGTGGAGTCAAAAGTTTTATACACAGATTTTTGGCTACATGAGGGGGCTAGCGCCCCTAACCCCCATACTCTTCAAGGTCCAACCTTACTCAACTCTGCTGCTGTAGCATGAAAGCAGCCCAGCCATAAAAATACAAATGGATAGGGATGGCTATGTCCTAACACTTATGACACTGAAATCAATTTCGTATAATTTTCACCTATCACAAAATACTATTAATTTTTCCCCCAGCCATTTAAAAAATGTAAAAATCACGATTAGCTCATGGGCCATAAGAAAACCAGCATATGATTCTAGTTTGCCAACCCCTGGTCTAAAGCTTTAAGTAGCCAAGAAAGTTAGGGAACCTGTCTAGTGGTGACTCCGGATCTACTCATTCCGGGGCCTGACCTTCTTATTCTCTGTAGCTCCAGTTTTCTCTAGGGACTTTCTCCTGTAGCAGTCCACACACAGCTGAGACAGGACCATCTTCTGAACAACCTCCTGGTCGCTGGCATTCCCCCAAAGTAGCCTCTGCCTCTATGAAGGCTCTACCTGGAGACACAAATTTACAGAATAAGGAGGTGGGGGGGGGGAGTATCTCTGTAAACTGTTAAGAATCCACTCCTAGATAGGAACAGGGAAGAACTCTCCACCTAAGAGAGAAAGCAAAAAGATCTCCACTGATCACATCAAAACACAGAAGTTCAATAAATACCTGCCTTTGGTTTTTTTCCCACATCCCAGTGACGTGACACAACAGCCTGAGATAAAGAACCTATTCCAAGCCCCAGCCAGGGAGTGGGAACGCTGGTGTGGGGCACCTCAAGTCAGGTCTCAGAACTGAGTAGGGACGAAGACCTGGAATGGAAGAGGGAGCCAGCCAGACCCTCCAGTCCTCCCTGTCAGGTATCGGGAGTCACAGATGCCTGTGACCTCTCTCACTGTCCTGACTTCAGCTGTAAAAGCTCCGTGTCACCAACAGGGAATCCTGGTGTCCCCTCATGCCCCTCAGACCAGGGCAAATCACTTTCCTCACTCCATGGTGACAGGCACATCTTCCACATCTCGGGGGACTGCGCTCTGAAGCTCACGCCTGATCTCGGGGGACAGCTGTGGATGGGGCTGCAGCCGGAGCAGTTCCAAGAGGGCCTCTTTCTGATCCGTGGCCAGGTCTGCCTTGTAGCGCTGGACCAAAGTCAGGAGGCACTGGTGCCAGAGCACAGGCAGTTCGCGCCTCTCTGTCCGGAAGCCCAGAAAGTGGAAGACCAGGGCGTCCAGCACGCGGTACGGCAGCGCATACTTCTTATCCAGCAACAGTCGCAGGAAGATGCTGTTAGCACCACTGTATTCCATCTCGGCAATTTTCAGCATGGCTGCGCTGGTGGGGAAGGAGATGCTAGAGGGAAGATCCGCCTTCTCCTGTCCCTCCTTCCCCTGTCCTCCTCCGCTGGCCCCTGCACTGTGCTATTCCTAAGAGGCCATCTCAGGCCTTCTCACCTACCCAATCTGACACCCCCTCGGCCCCAGTTACCAGCTCTATGCAGATGCACCCCAAGTCCCCACCTCTCACTCAGCCCCTTGTCGCAGTATCTGGCTAGAACAGATTCGAGCATCTGAAGATCTCCACCCCCAACATACTTTCTTCCCACGTTCCTCATTCATTCATTCATTCTTTCATTCATTCAACTATTTACTGAGCACCTGCCATGTGCCAGGCACTGGGCTCCTGTTGTGGGGGAACTTACATTCTAGTGGAGCAGCAACACGCTCAGGAGCATAAACAAGCCACAGATCCAGGGCAGTTCTAGCTCCTTCTCCATTCTGTCCGCCCCCCGCCCCCCCAATCCTGAGACCTCTCCTATCTGGGTATCTCCTGACTGACTGTCCTCCACACCCACCAACACTACCTGGAGTGCAACACAGGGATGGAACATTTGGTGATGATGCTACCCACGATGATGGCTTCCCGCAGGGTACAGGTGCCAGACTCGCACAGTGGGATCAGGATCCCTGGGGAGGGTCAGAGGGGCAGTCACCTTGAGTCCGGGGTGAGAGAACGGCGCTAGAGCAAGTCCCCCACCTACCCGAGATATAGTCATCTCCCAAGTCAGTATTGTTGTTTTCACCTGCAGGAGCTCCAGCCCCTCCCTCTCCGCAGCCTCCTGAGCTCCCACCTTTAAACCAGGCTCCAGGCTTGAACAGGGCCTTCTTGAGTGCCATGTAGAGGTGGAAGTTGAGTCGTTTGTACTCAGCGATGTCGTCTCGTACCCGGGGGAGCAGGACAAGGTTGTAGAAGCGCTGAGCCATGCGTTCCTTGAGGTTAGAGGCGAAAATCCTAGGGTTTTTTTTTGGGGGGGGGGCGGGAAGAAGAAGGATATGGGGGAGATCCCAGGTCACTCAAGAGCCTGGCTCAGGCGCTTTAAATTATCACCATGGATGGCGCACACAAGAGATGTGAGGGATGTGTGGGAGTTAGCTGTGTGCACCTGACACCTGAGTCAGATGAGAGAGGTACCCCACAGGAGGGGTACAAGGTGCACCCAAACAGAGTGAGCACTGTCCTAGGGACAGCCATAACTCTGCGCTATCCCCCTTCCTTCCCCAGCACGGGTTCTCTCTACCCTGCTGTTACGAGGGACCCGAGCGTGCCTGGGGAGCCACAGACTTCAGGAACCCCTGACACACCAGGGGTTGTCCCCCAATAGTTATGAGCCCCGCTTCTGGAAACTTATCACAGTGGAGTCTCAATGGGGTCCTGGCCCTGAGACATGAAATGGGAAAGCTGGGAAAACAGTGATCTAAAGAAGCTCCAGCTAGAACTCTGGGGCAAGACTAAAATGTAATGACAATGGCAGAGAAAGCCTTTCCCCCCCAACCCCCGGCCTCTACCTTGTGGCTTGGTACATGGCGGCTGCAGTCCAGGCCTCGGGCTCCGTGATGTAGAGGATCTGCTCCCAGTTGGAGAGCGCAGGGATGATCTTGAAGGCCTTGGGCAGCTTCCCACTGCGGTACTTGGACAACACCTGGGGACGAGGGTGCAGAATCAGCACTGCCAATGACACGGAAGCCGTGTGCCCTGTGCCAGGTCCGTCTCTGTGGTTTTCACGGCTTAGCTCACTTAATCCTCACAGGAACCCTGTGCTAAGGATGTGCTCTTAGCACCCTCGTTTTCCAGGTGGGGAGAGGAAGACCAGGGTGAAGGAACCTTCCCCAAGGCCACCAAGTGCCTGAGTGGCAGAGCAGGAATCTGAGCCCACACACTCGGGCTCTTTAAGTTTGGTCTTGGCCACTGTGCCTCATTTGTGTGAGGAGAGAAAGCCTTATGTGGGAGCCCACAGCCCCTGGGAGGGTATTCTATCATGGCTCTCCTCTCGGCTCTCACCTCCCGGACCCCCCTGTAGACCTCCAGAACCCGGGGGTCCAGCTGCGGCATGGGAAAGCCTGACACCTCTGACATAACCGTCTCAACTTCCGTCTGCTTCTCAGTCAGCTTCTCCATGATGATGTCAGCCAGGGTACGCCTACAAGTAAGGGAGGTGCGGGAGGCAAGGAGAGAGGGCTGTGGTCAGTCCAGGAGGCTTCAGGCAGCCCGCGCAGCTCCCTGTGAACTCCAGTACGTCTGTGATCTCACTGGGATGTGTGGCCCCAGCCTCCCTGGGCCCTAACACCCACTGCAGAATCCCTGCAGGGTGCAGAGGACCCGAAAGTCATTCAGTCTGGGACAAAGCTCACAGCTGTAGGGAGGTGAAGAACCTGGACTCTGAAGTCAGTCGGCCTGGCTTCAGATCCCAGCTTTTCCTCTGCCGGTATGACCCTGGGCATGCTCCTTGGCCTCTCTATGCCTCAGTTTTCCTCATCCGTGAGACAGGGATAATAGCAGTACCTAGCTCATCAAGTTAGCATGAGGATTACAAGAATTAACATTTGTACGTTACTTGGAACTGTTGGTACACAGCGAGCGTGCAGTAAGCACTGCCTACTTCAAACGCACCTATAATGTGCTGGCAATATGCGGAGGGCTTCCCGTTACAAAGTCCTGGTGTGACCTCTCTAGAGGGCCACACACATCTCAGTTACCTTCTAAGATTTCAAGTAGCTGGGGGTCATTAAGGAGGGACTATGACACAAACTTTCCCCCCAATTTCATTTATTAAAATTTATGGAAAAATTTCTAAGATCAATGATATTTTTCTCAGGTTCCTTATGCAGAGTATATCAAACAAAACCTTATCATGATGGTTCAGAATTACTGTTACATTGGGCTTTGGTATAATGGTGTCTTCAGAAGCTGCTAAAGTATATTTAAAACACCTCCTGTTTTCTCAACACCAGGCACTGAGGTAGGGCTTTGCAGATGTTATCTCATACAAGCTGTGCGACATCCCGTAGAGGTGTCATTACGGCCCTTATTCAGACACAGGAACTGATACCCACAGAGGTCAATAACTCCCCCAAGGTCTCACAGCCTTGGTGGGAGTTAAACGCTGGCCTCTCATGTTCTAAAGTTCAGGTACTTGACAGTACACTATAACGTGCCCCCAACTGCACGGGCCTCTGACTACTGAGTTCACGTGGGTCTGGGCTTGCTTTCAGAAGCTGTCAGCTGTCATTTCTCAAGACTGCAGGCAACCCGTTTTTGGTAGCTGCAGGCAAGAAAATCATCCGACTAGTCCTGTCAAAATGCTGTGTTACCAAGGAGTTCTGAGGTGCTGAGTGAGACCCTGAGGGGCTCTCTGGCAGGACAAACACACCAGCCCAGAACATACTTTGTGACATCTACTTCAGCTGCTGGGCATCAGTGTGGGCAGTGGGCTCATTTCCTCACTCTGTGCTCTCAAACAAGTGACCACAGAACTTCTCCTTCAGCTTCCCTGTCTTATTCTCAGTATTATCAGCCAACGAAAGATGCATTAGCCCCCCAAAGCCTATAAACCCTGTCACGTAAGTATCACAGGGTCAGAATGAACTAGTTGAGGGACTTTATCCGAGACTCCCCCTCCCCTGGGTCAGAATCTACAGGCTTAAGAGTTTGATTGTAGCACCTTCAATGCCCACGTTTTGGAGCTGCCATTTAGGATACATGGCATTACACTGTGCTTCTACCCGGGGGCGAGTCTGCTCACCAGGAAACATTTGGCAGTCTGGAAACATTGTTTGGTTATCACAATTGTGGGAAAGACCACTACTGGTATCCAGGGAATAGAAATCATCCAGATGCTAAACATCCCCCACCGCACAGGACAGCCTCCATAAAAAAGAGAATTAGCCAGCCCAAAATGCCAGTAATGCCAAGGCTAAGAAACCCTGGCTGAAATGACGCTGAGAGTATGAAAGAGACCTGGCCAAGGAAATCGAGCTTAGCACTAAGAAAACCAAGCAGGCCAAAACCAAATCCGATGGGATGGATCGCCCTGGAGGCATGAGAAAAGGCCCTGGAGCTGTTTTCCCGGGGAAGCCTGGGCAGTTCTACAACAGGTGGACAGATGGGCAGGAGGTCTGGGTCATTCCCACCCGAGGATGGGCCAATTTTGCCAAGCTGGTTCCCCACAACCAGCTATGCTCAGGCCCTTCCCAAAGCCATGAAATCAAAATTGCCAGGGCATATGCTTCTCTGCAGAAAGCTGCCACAGGGACCGGACATCCCACACCCCAGGCCATGCCAGCCCCACCTGGCAGGAGGGTTCTTGTTCATGAACATCTCAATGGCACGCTCATCCTCAGGGTCCACGACCACCTCCGCATGATGGCCCGCCCCCGTCATTGTGGCAGCCTTCTCCAGGGTGGGCCACTCCTCATCCTCATCATCTGATCCATCCTGCGGGACTCCTGGACCTAGAACAGGAGAGGAAATGGATGAGCAAAGGCAAGCCGTGGGTGAGGGATGTAGAGGTCAATTCAACTTTACCCATCAGCACAGTACAGGCCTCGCATGGGCTTGTAACAGACACAGATGGGTGCAGTGAAAGCAATGATGCCCCCACTGTCTTCCAGTTCCCAGGGGCTTCCTGTTCCCGATCTTGCTTGAGAAACAAAATGTACAAATATGAGCCAAGGAGACAGCGATGCCAGTGAATAATCGTTAAACACACTACACTCACTTATATAGCAGGGGCTCTTCTAAACACTGTATTTAATTTTCATAACACCAAGAAGTAGGTACTAGTATTCTACCCAGTGTCAGATGGGGACTCTGAAGCATAGGAAACTTAAGTGACTTGTCTAAGGCAGGTAGTCTGCGTTTAGACTGCGCATTCTTCACCTCTGTTCTATACACACTGTAGCGCTTCGTTATATGCCAAAATCAGTGGCAGAGGCAGTGTAAACCACAGGCACATAAAAGGTGATGAGAGCAGAGGACAGTCAGACTCTGAAAAGGCAGTATGGGAACTGGAGGAGTGTGCTCCAGACGTGGGTCACAACACTGGCAGGAACAGTTGGTTACAAGGGTATCTAACAGGCAGTAGCAAGAAATAAGGCTAGAGGGGTAAAGTAAAGCCAGACTGCAGAGGGCCTTGAGGCCAGGCAACGGAGTTCAGATTTCAATGGAACAACGCCCCCTTTTTAGAACTTATTTATTTAAGAGAGAGTGGGCGCACATGCACACGAGCATGAACAAGGGTAGGGGCAGAGATAGAGGGAGAAGGAAAGGGAGAAGCAGACTCCCTACTGAATGCAGAGTCAGACACTGCAGGAAGCTCAATTCCAGGACACTGAGATCATGACTCGAGCCAAAGTCAGACAGGTAACTGACTGAGCCACCCAGGTGCCTCTGGCACAACCCATTTTTATAATGAACTATTGGAAGGCTACAAGCTGCCTGCGCATCTGAAAAGGGATGTAATAATCCAACCAGAAAGATAAAATGTTACACGGGAACACCTCAGTAAGAACAGAGGCAGTGTGGGCACCTGGGTGGCTCAGTCGGTTAAGCGTCTGCCTCCAGCTTGGGTCATGATCGTGGGGTCCTGGGATCGAGCCCTCATAAGGCTCCCGGCTCAGCGGGAAGTCTGCTTGCTGTCAAATAAATAAATAAAATCTTAAAAAAAAAAAAAGACAGGCAGTGTGTGATAAAAGCTAAATGGGGGAGGGGGATGCACCAGACTTTTGTCTTCATGTGCTAACAAATCCCAAATCTGTGCTTGTAGGTTGATTTCCCTTTACTCCACTCACTCCAGCCCTCTCCTGTACAGCAGCTCTTGGATGAGCCACAGGCAATTCAACCCTCACCTATCAACTGAACTCCTCTTTTCCTTTTAGGTCTCTGCTACTCGCTGTGTTCCATGTCTTAAGTAAATGGTACTACTGTCCACCAAATGCTGAGCCAGATCCCAGGACCCTGAGATCATGACCTGAGCAGAAGTCAGATGCTTAACCGACTGAACCACCCAGGCGCCCCCAGGTATTTCCATTTTTAATGGAGTGGACAGGATAGGCCTCTCCGAGAAGATGAAGAATCAGGGAATAAACCTACAAAGGAATGAAGACAAAAAGAATAAGAAGGGCAAAAGCCCTAACTTACTATGTTTAAGGAACAATAAAGCCTGTATGGACAAAGAGGACACGGGGAAAGTAGTAGAAGAGGTCAGATTGGCAAAGGGGCAGATCATGCAGGTCTTTGAAGTCCTCCAGCTGTTGCGAGTAGATCTAAGGGGGATGGGATACTAATCAGGAAGCTACAACAATAATCCAGGTGAGAGATTATGGTGATTCAAACAGGACTGTGTTCCAAGCTGATGAGAAGTGGTCTGACTCTGGATCTATTTTGAAGGTAGAGTCAACAGGATTTCCTAACAAATTAGATGTGAAGTAAGAAAGAGAGGAGTCCAAGGTTTCTGTCTTGAGCAAATGGAAGGATATCATCCTGTTAACTGAGATGAGGAGGACAGTGGGAGGAGCAGGTTTGGCAAGAATATCAGGATTTCTGTTTTGGACACATTAAATTTGAGATGTCTATTAGACTTCAAATGGGAGATGTCAAACAGGCAGCTGAAATAGAAGAATCTGATTTTCATGGAAGAGATCTGGGCAAGAATACAAAGTGAGGAGCAATCACTAAGTAGATGGCAGTTAAACCATGAAACTGATGACAGCACCAGAAAAGTGACATGAAGAGAAGAGATCCAAGAACTGAACCTTGTGGCCCATCAATGATAAGAGGCTGGGGACAAAAGAGGAGCCAGCAAAAGATACTGAAGCCAGGAGGCCAGTGTTCAATTGTGTCCAATACCGCTCTCAAGACAAATGAAAGAGATCTGAGAGACAGATTAAGCGACTTGGAGGTCAACACGTCCACCCTAATAATATTGACCAACTTTTAATTAGTCTCTCTCCCTCTTGAACACCTAAACAAGATCATTCTTTCTGCTCAGAGCACTCTCCACTCGTTTTTCAGGTCTCAGCACAAAGGTTATGCAATCTGGGAAGCCTGACCCCCAAAAGTAATGCTACTTAGAAAGAGAAACTATACTTTCTTTATTCTGGAATGTATTATTCTAATCATTAATTTAACTGTCTCTCTCTTGGGCTAGACTGTAAGATCCTGAAGTCAGGCACATGGCTATCTTGTTTCCTTCTTTACCGAAACCATCTAAACTCCTAGCACAGTGCAAAGCACGGACTAGACAACTCCTAAGAATGTACAGAACAAATGGATAAATGTTAGGAGTGCTCAGTGGCGTGAGCAACTACTCCCTGTTGGTCTAACTGCGGGGGTGCCTAGAAGCGAGTATCTAAAACTACAAGTGGGAGTAGAGGGCTCTGACCACCCTTAACCTGCTCCAGAGCTGGGTCTCCCATTTCATTACCTTTGCAAGGGTGTAATGCGGACCCCTTATTTATTTTATTTGATCTTCTTGATTTCAAACGATTCCCCTATCAGGGGAATCGTTTGGCCGTCTACTTCCCCCCACCCCCAGAAACTAACCACCTTCTTCCCGGCGCTCACCCCCCACCACTCACCCAGCCGCGTGGTGCGCTCGCGTGGCGCTGCGGGCTTGTCCCCAGTCCCATGCTCCGCCTCGAGTTCCTCCTGCTGCTGCCGTGCTTGCTGCAAAATCCGTCGAGTCAGCCGGGGCCCCACATACTCTTCCTCTTCTCTGGTCCCACGACCCCGCCGCTTTTCCCGGGCTCCTGCCCGCACCGCGTCCCCAGCCAGGATCTGCTCAGCCAGGGGCGCATGTTTTTCTTGACCCGCAGCTCCGCGAGCCGCCTTGAATTTGGGCATTTTCCTCCAAAACTTTGCTGGAAAGCCTTACACGTGCCAACGAAAGAAAAGGAAAAAAAAAAAAAAAAGCCTTCAGTGCGCTTGCGCAGTGAACTCCCAGTTCCCAAGAAGCCCCCACGTAGATTACAGCGTCTCCTAGCGTTCGGAGGCCAGCAGTGCCATCAGCGCCGTCACACCCCCTAAAAGAGCTCACGGGTCCTGGAGCTAGACTCCCGAATAAACTCATTGCATTTAACGTTGGTTCCTATACGTGGTGGCAGTCCGAGCGATGATTTTCTACTTTCACGGATCGCGGACCTATGTGGCCAAACGTGAACTTCCCCAGAAGAAGGCTGGGGGGGGGGTGGCCAGGAGCCGGGCAGTGACGTCACTGGAGTCGTCACCGATGAGGTGACTAGACCCGCCCCTGTTCCTCGTGGGCGCGTCGACTGGACGCTCTGTTTTTACGTCATTTCCGCAACACCTCCCTCGGCAGAAGCTTGCATTAGGGGGGATTCACTTAGTGTGGACGGCCGCAGAACACTGTGATTCAGCTGTTTATTCCTGCCACCCTCCTGGCCGGATACCATGGGAGTGACTTGGTAGGACCGCAAGGGACTTTGTGGGGCTGCGCTTGGGGTCGGGAAGGGCCCTCGGAGTCTGGAGTATACCCGGGAGGGGGCTCGGGACCAGGGTCCGCCGTCCCCCAGGAGCTGAGCAGGATGTGTGGGTGAGGGCTGCAGATTCTCTGGGCTTGTTTGCTCGAAGATACTCCCAGTCCTGGAAGGCGGCAGGTGAAAGGTTTTGTCCCAGGAGCTCATCGGTGGTTGTGTACTTCCTTCCTTTTTCTTCCCAGGAGGCCATCGGGCTGCCCGGGGTGTGGAACTTAAGGGTTGGAAATAGGATGCCCGGAGTAGGACCTAATCTGCAGGCGGGGCTTGAGGGGGTGCGGGATAGGCAACGAGGAAACCACCTTTTTTTTAGGTGTTTCTCCTGCCCCTCCCTACAGCCACCCAATACAGTTAAACCAGCCCGTGTCTGGTTCTGGTGTGGCCGTTTTAAGTTCTTAAGTCTAGGGAGCGGGGGGAAGAAGCTGTTGGGAGTTAGATTGGGGTTCAGGCACATCACCTCTTCAGGATCCGTTTCCTACTATGTTTAATTATATGGTTGGTCTAGTTTCTATGGACTTTTAATCTCTAACGTGATATAAGTAACGTGGCAGAGAAAGGTATGGCCTAATGTTCTTGGGGGCATGAGTTCCAAAATGCTAGATTTCACTTTTTTTTTTTTTTTTTTTTTTTGCTTTGCTTTGAATATTGGTAAATATTAGCATGGTTCCAGTCAGAGAGGGCTGGAGGCTAGGATATTCTGAAGTCAGTGGCTGGAGCCTGTGGGAACTACTCTTTCTGGTAGCTCAGGTTCGTGTAGGCTTGTCTGTTACTGCACCTTTGTTTTCTACAGTGGGTATCATGAGCCTTTTCTAAGTCTTCTAGTGTAAGGGGGATGTGTGAGGGATGGAATGAAAAGTTTGTAGCATAGAGCCTTGGAACCCTGGAAGTCCCTGTTCTTTCAGTAGAAGATAGAGAGAGGGAATGGGCTGTCAGTCTGTTTGGGACCCTTATCAAGTTTTTCACACTCCTGGGGCTTCTGACCCCTGTAACATCAGTTTAGGGATTCTCTTATTTTTCTCAAGGCACGTCATCTCATTGCTCATGAGTGTGTTTTCTGATGGAGAGTAGTGACATTTTTAGCAACAGCAAGACTCCCATTTTTGTACCTTCATGTAGTTGATCTTAAAGTAATGCAGTGTCTTCCAAAATTCAGTAACATATGGTTTTTATATAGCTAGGTACCATCTGTAGTAGTTATTAATGTTTTCTTTTGAATCTATTTATTTTCCCCAAAAACATTTTAACAGGCAGCTTCATCTCTAGGGAGGAAATCTAGTATAGTGGATAAGAACACAGACATGGAGCAGCCTGCCTGGCTTTGAATCTTGACTACACCACACCAAGCTCTGTGACCTTATGCAAGTTACTCAACCCCTCTGTACTTAAGTTTCTTCATTTGTAGCAAGGAGATAAATAATAGCTCATCTCATAGGGCTGTTGTGAGGATTCAAAGAGTTCATTTGTCTAAAGGCCTTTGGACACTGCCTGGCACATGGTTGATGCCTAATGATTGTTATCCACTATGAAGGGGAAGCCAGTTTCACTTACCATAGAAGGAAATCTTTTAGTCCATTGTTTTGATTTTATTCTTGTACATACTGTTGCCTCTAGTTCCTAAAGATTATAAACTTGAGCCTTGCTTTCTCTTTGCTCCTAGGGCTGTTGAATACAATTTTCTGCATTGACGAAATGTTCTATAACACCATTGTCTAATACACTAGCCTTCAGTCACAAGTGGCTCTTGAGCCTTTGAAATGTGGGTGGTGCAGCTGAGGAGTTGAGTTTTTAATTTAACTTGTTTTATTAGTTTAAGTGTAAATAGCCACATGTGGCTTGTGGCTGCTGTACTGGACAGCGCACGTTCAAAGTGTCCAAGAAATGGTAAAAACATACTAACCCCAAATTGAGATTTTCCTGATAGAGTCAGAACTGAAGGGATCGCAAAGGACATCCCTTTCTCACATGACTCAATGTTATGAATTGTTCAGCCTCTGTACACTTAAAACCTTTTCTTGAACATTGGCACACATGTCCTGCTTGGGAAACACTGGTGTGATAGATAGGAAGTTCACTACACTGATGTGAGTGTCCTGAGATCTGTGTTCTAGTTCTTAGTGGAGCTCTCAGGAACCGTGAGCCTCTATTTCCTCATCTTTAAAATGAGAGAGAGGGTCAGGGTAGGTGGTCTCTAAGGTAACTCCTGGCCCCAAAGAGCTGTGATTCTGTGGGTAAATGAGTGGCTCAGTGAGTGTACATGTGTCTACGGATACTGATGATTTGGTCCTCTCCCTTCCAGTGTGTCCCAGATGCCTGTGGCTGAGGGCAAGAGTGTCCAGCAGACGGTGGAGCTCCTCACCCGGAAGTTGGAGATGCTTGGGGCAGAGAAGCAAGGAACATTTTGTGTGGATTGTGAGACCTACCACACAGCTGCCTCCACTCTTGGCAGCCAAGGTCAGTGAGATGGGTCTGCAGGATGGCTGGAACCTCACTTGGAGTTGATTGACATTCATGTTCATTGAAATCTTTATGCTCTTTTGCTAAGGATGGTATTCTTGAACATGTGGCAGATGTTTCTGAATTCATTAAATCTCGGTCCTTCATCTCTTAGATTGGGCCGATGCTTTTCTTTCTGCACTTTGCACTTTAAAGCTGTGTTTCTCGGGGGATTGGTCACTGGCTAAATGCATCTAAGCATCTGGGTTACTTGTTAAAGGTGCAGAGTCCTGGGGCGCCGGTGTGCATGAGTTGATTAAGCATCCAACTCTTGATTTCAGCTCAGGTCATGATCTCAGGGTCCTGGGATCAAGTCCCGCATCGGGCTCCATGCTCAGCACAGCACCTGCTTAGGATTCTTTCTCCCTTTCCCTTTGCCCCTTCCCCCGTTCTCGCTCTCTATTCTCTCTCTCTCAAATAAATAAATAAAATCTTAAAAAAATAAAGATGCAAAGTCTCAGCTCTCCTTACCACTTGACTGGTGCTGCAAGCCCCATAATTATACTTCAGCCAGCTCCCTTGATGATCTTTATGCACTCTTAAGTTTGAGAGAGACTCCTTTTAGGCCCAGAAGTCTATGATTCTTTCACAGCTTTAAAGTTTTTAGAACTTTGTGCAGAAAGGCTTTCAGATTCCTACACCTAGCCAGTGGCCTTGGATACGTCATTGCATGACCTTGACCATTGAATCAACTTTTGTTTCAAATATATTGAGATGGGCTATGGATGATGGTGGTAGGGAGGCAAAGAGAATCTTTTTTTTTTCTTCAAATTTTTATTTAAATTCTAGTTAGTTAACATATAGCGTAATATTGGTTTCGGGGTAGAATTCAGTGATTCGTCATTTACATATAACACTGGGTGCTCACCACCCATTTAGCCCCCCACCCACGTCCCTTCATCAATCCTCAGTTTGTTCTCTGTTGTTCAGGGTCTTTTATGGTTTGCTTCCCTCTCTCTCTTTTTTCCCCCTCCCATATGTTCAACTGTTTTGTTTCTTAAATTCTGCATATGAGTGAAATCATGGTATTATTTTTCTCTGACTTACTTCACTTAGCATAATACACTCTAGTTCTATCCATGTCTTTGCAAATGACAAGATTTTTCTTTTTGATGGCTGAGTAATTAATATTCCATTATATATCTACATAATATATATAGGTGTATTAGATGTATAAATTATATATATGTGTACAGACACATTAGATATATAGATAATAGGTACACACATATATATATATTTCTCCCACATTTTCTTTGTCCATGCATGAGCCAATGGACATTTGGGCTCTTTCCATAATTTGGCTGTTGTTGATAATGCTGCTGTAAACATCAGGATGCATGTACCCCTTCGAATCTGTATTTTTGTATCCTTTCGATAAATACCTAGTAGTGCAATTGCTGGGTCGTAGGGTAGTTTCTTTTCTTAAATTCTTGAGAAACCTCCATACTGTCTTCCAGAGTGGCTGCACCAGTTTGCATTCCCACCAACAGTGTGAGAGGGTTCCCCTTTCTCCACATCCTCACCAACATCTGTTGTTTCCCATGTTTAGAGAACCTTTGAATATGAGTTAGAGAACCTGGGTTCTCTTAGTCTTGGCTCTGTAGTAATTTGACCTAGGACAGTTCCAAAGCACAGTGATGAAAAGGCTAGATCATGGAACCAGAGAACTAAGTCCTGGTCACATACTGTCACTTAGGGAAGTCCCACAACCTATGACTGTTTCTGTGCCAGTCATTTGCCTATTTCCCCGTAGATCCATTCCTCATACCTCCCCTGCAGACAACATTTGCCAGGCCCCCTTTTAGTCACCTTTGGCCAGTGAGGGGCAGTGGGGAAGTTTAGAGGCCCGAAGCAAGGGAGAGCACAGGATCTCCTCCTCTCCTGCTTTGGGTGGTGTCTCCGGCTGTGACTGCGGTCTCTTCCTTGGTTTTAGCTCCTGCTGGGTGCCCCTTGTGCCTCGCTCTAATGACAGCACATCCTCTCTTTTTCCTTCCAGCCTTTGGGTTGGTAGTAGCTCCCTGTACTGCTAATATTTGAGTGGCCTCACCATTTGTTTGGTTTGTCGGTTTTTCCAACCTTGGTATTTCGTTCCCTGTATTAAATCCCTTCTAATGAAACTATTTGCTACGGGGTCTGTTTCTATACC